AAAGGGTAAACGGGTTTTCCCTAAACCCTAAAAAAACTTGCACTTGGGGTAGTCAATGTCCCGTTGTGCGATATAGATAGTGAAAACCCAAAAAAAAACACGAACTGTACACTTTGCAAGTAGACTACATGCAGACCAAAAGAATTTAGACCCTTGTCCCACCACTACATTCCCCAAGCCATAGAAACAATTTCACCACCTATCTTCCTATGTCTCAGATCAAAATAGACCAAATGATCAGTTGTGTGCGACCGAAACCCGGACACGCGAGAAGTAACAGCTCAGTTCAAAAGAAAGAGTGGACGTGCATAAATATGCAGCTTCCAAGATCAGCCATGTTGTGCCAAGGTGCAGGCATTTCGTGAGGATTACACACAATCACCAGAGCACAGCTAAACTATGGAACTTTTTATGTGGATCTCCTTCAACTTGACCGTAATCATGAGGTGCAGTGGGGCCATAAATTAGTAAACCTCGGCTGATATACCGATTAAAGAGTCGAGGGTACAGATGGTAACCTCCCCTCTCTTTCCATCCCCTCTCTGGGGTGAGCCTTGGATCACGCGTCTCTGCCCCTGATATACAATCAAGCATTCAACCATTCGTTAGATCGCTATCTCGTTCACGTCTTGAAAGTGCACTACACCGCGACTCGTATACAATCCTCTACAGATGTATCCGAAGTCGGTGATCTATTGGGAGAGGATTGGAAACGGACGTGATCCACATTCGAGACACGCTGACAGTCGCAGATGCTCACGACTGGGTACACAGGAAAGAAACCACCCACATGTCTAACGGTCGTTCCTCCCTTCCCTCCTGCTCATACCGCCAGCCTGTGGAAGTAGGTACCCAAATCTCTGTAACAAACTGTGTGCCTGCCGGGTCTCCTATACATCAGGATTATACGTACAGAATCGCGGGTTACTGAGATAGCGCCATGTGATTTGAGAAAAAAATCGTACGCAAGAAAAGGACTGCATGAATAGGGGTAACAGTAAACGACGTATGAATTCGAGACAAAGTGATGATATAAAGGGTGTTCAGTCGCCTCTCCTTGCAACACAAAAATCAAATAAGGTAGGAGATTGCAGTAGAAAAGGTCGTGTGTACATCTAATTGTTGTATAATCGCCATGTAAAGCGCGGAGTAGGAGGTACGGGATTTCACTCCGCGATGCGAAAGAATACTAGAACAATAGAAGACTACCCACGGGATTAAGGCCTATTCAATGGGCTGTGCCCGTGGGTGTGAAACAAATGGCAACGCATTTGACTCAACCCAAAGCATTTGTACAGATAGACTATTTCCCAATGGGGCTATGAATACGTAAACATAGTCAAGTCTTGCGAAGAAAAAAATGAGGGCAACGACATATCATCCACGTGACAAATGCATTAATATGCTCAATCTGGTAAGCGAAGGACTCACCATGTGTGCAAGGGAGGAAAGGAGCGAAGAGCAGGGCTATAATCCACAAAGTAGAGACCATTCGGAGACAAGTTGAAGGACCTCAGAGACACCGCATCCAGAGAAGGCGAAGGAGGCAATGCCGCTGATGGAGCGAAATACAAGGCGGGATGGCGCAAGCCGGCCGAGGGCGAGAACGCCTGTGTGGTCGCGTGCGTACGTATGTGCGCAGGCACAGTGCACCCACTTGCGCATTCGGGAGTCATGTTTGTATGACCCAATCACCGTGCTAGTCACACTAACCAATCAGAGGGCTCAGGTGTCAATGGCTCGGGTTTTGGTGGCGGAATGACGCACTGCCTTGAGTGCTCTCGCCGTGCGCCAGAACTGCGGGGCGCGAGGGGGCATAGGCTGGCGACAGACAAGTCCTTTTTCTGACTGCAGCAGTTATGCAGTCTCACCTTCTATCTTTGGGCCTTGATGAAAATACGTCTTTAAGTGTGTTACGGCGGCATAAGCCGTCACGAATCCCAGAGATATCTAACTTTGTTAAACGTTGAAATCCGAAACCCACTTTTAACTTGTCTGGTGGAGCCGATGTATTTAGACCCGGCAAATGCGTGTAATCGGCAGCACCGACTGAATGCAAATACATACTTTTCGGGAGGATAAAAAGTAGCCTTTAATTCACACTCAAATTAAGACAAGGAACTTCATTTGCTTACAGGGGAATGTGCTGGGTTGTGTCTCTGGAGACGGAGTTCTCCTGTCTCCCTAAATTTAAGGAACCAAGTGCAGTTTAATTAACCAATGCTTAACACAAGGCAAAATCATCGAACCTAAAGCAACGGTCAAGCATGGTAGGTTAATCTTACTTTATCTTGAGTCTGATATCTGTGTGTAGAATGCCGCTTGAAATGCGTAGGTCGTGCGTTTATCTATTTTTGCAACAGGAAGGTGAGAGAACGTTTGCCGATTATATGCTGATCTCCGTCAACATCATCACCAGCAGCAGTAGCAGTAACGTCAGCACTACACGTAAACTCAACCAGCTTCACCCCCTTAGAAGTTGCATTTAATGATTTCGCCTTTAGCCGAAAATGATGCTTGAATGAGGCGACTGTGGACGAAGCCGGGTTCAATGATTCAGCTTAGGGGACCTTTCTGTGCAGTGAGTGTGACTTGGATGCATATATAGTGAGTTGGCAGCCAAGTCTTCGGAACATTCCTGACTTTTAGGATCTCTGGAAGACGAGTTTCCAAAGTAGACAAGCAGCTTGCTGTCTCGTTTTTCATCCTACAGGGCTTGTTGTAATGAGTTCTGCTGGTGATTCATGGGGGAAGTGACACATCGGGAAGCTGATTTCACAGTCTCAATTCTGTAGGTGCGGCTTGTAAGCTGCCTGTAGTTGTGTGCTTGTGGTGCTGTCAGCTCCCGCCCCACCACAGACACAACATTCACGCGTCCACTCACATGCACGGCACTCGGCCATGATGCTTTTGACAGTGGAAGAGGAAGAAGATGAACGCACGCACACTCGAGTACCAGGACGAGAAAAAGGCCGCCTCACCCGGCTTTGCTCCCCAACCCGGGTGGTCTTCCACTCAGGGCTCGGGCGAGGAGGCAAAAGATGTGCCTTTGCTCCTGCTGTTTTTTGAATCTGACACACGTATTTTTCGCGAACCGGTAAATTTGTTTTAATTAACCTCTTTATGTGAGTCACTCCAAGTCTTCTCGAATGGGAAATGCTCATGTCTCTCTCCTATGTCGTCTTTAATTGAGACCTTGGAGTTGGAAATTTCAAGGCAGATTACCATGCATCGAATGATGTGGTTCTCATCCTAGTAGACGCTTGAAAAGATCTAACCTAAAACTTTCATTTATGGGGTATGTTGTGTAACAAAGACTGAAATCCTTACACAAATCGTCGTGACCAATGTATTTTAGTCGTCGGTTAAATCAGCCCCAGTTGTAAAATTGAATTAGAGCGGTGAAAGTGAATCCACATTCCCCATAGTTTGAATAGTTAAAAAATCCTATGACCTTCTACTTGATTGTGCCAATCAGTATTCCGAGGCTCTAACATCGTGCTTACTACACTGAGGGGTAAAAAATTGTAAACGGTTTAGTTCAAATTACTTGAAGGTGAAGAACAAATGAATCAAATTTAGGGCTTTTAAAACTTGGGGCTCACAATGCATTTACAGGTACATCTCTTAGCAAAAGAACAATGCAATTGTTGGGGAGGTGTTCATGCTTTACCCAGTAGATCACTTACCCTGCGCACCATTATGTACTTACAGTAGCTTGTTTTAAAGTACAGGAAGCTTTTCCCTAAGGTGCAATATGCCCTATCCATAGAAGAGGTAACGTTTTTGCGTGACTAGGACGGTCAACATCTTTGCTACAGATTTGGTGGTTAATATCACAATATATAGTATTATTTCTGTTGGATTCTTCACCGAGTAAGAAAGCTGACCCAACTTTTAATTCGGATAAATAAAGTTCCTTGAATTAGCCGCTCCACATTAATTGCATAAATTCATGCACACTAACTTGGTACTACCATTTGAGTTCGGGCTTCACATGTGAATTTTTACAGAGGATCAAGGCTTTCTATTGAATCCGCCCATACAGAAGATAGTGAACCTCGGTACTACTATCCATGTGCTATTTTCTACTCATTTAGTTTGAAATGAGCAATTCAAGATTCCTAGGGTATCTACACATAATAGGACTTCATACCTCTAGCCTTCCTCGAAGGATCTATGCCGGGTGGGTACAATTCCGATTACTGCAGTCGTAAGACCGGTTTGAGTGAAGCACTGGTCGTTGAACATTTGTACAAATTATGCAAACGGTCTTCAAGTAGTAGTTGCTTGTGAAATGACACAGTCGAGACGCAGCTAAGATGGTTAAAATTCAATTATTAAAAAATACTGCCGTAGCACGATACGGTTTGAAGAGTTCTCCCACCGAACGACCCATATTGGCTACGCGAGGATCGTATATACCTTGACTACAGATATGCCCAAAGCATTGGGCTGGTGAGGTGAATCGAATCCGTTTGGAATGCACGTCGTATTCTTCTTTTTATCAACTATTTCATTTAAGCCAATGATTCACGCTGTCTCGAGGTCTCTAGATGAAAAAAAACGAAGACGCACATACTTGATTCTTTTGACTTGTGATTTCTAACCATAATCCCATTTGAAATGTCATAGCATGCAACATTCGTCTTAAAGGCAAAGTACCCTACGAAACACAGATCGCTTCTTTGATATAATGATGTTAGGATATAAATTCCAACTTTGTAACACATATTGTAATAATCTAATTGGCATTAAATAATTGACGTATCCTCCGAGGAATTAAGCGCTTCAAATGTGTCACAGACAGATTGAACCACATTCAGGTTTATGCTACCTGCACTGTTAGCGCGCACATAAAAATATAGGCAATAAAAATTCATTTTAATATCCTTTTGCAGTTCCATTCACTGCCCTACAAGTACTGGACCCCTTTTCCCACACAAATTAATTTGTATAAAAAGGGCGTTCGCAGATAAGAATGCTCGAAGAGTTTACCTTGTTAACATGACTATCACTTTTGGCTTGCCTTTCTTGTACATATTTGTCATAAATCCCACTAACTGGCATGATTATCTCAGGTCATTTTGGGCAACAACCCCGTGTCAAGTAAAAATATTCGGAACTTGGCAAGCGAAGCACCATTGGAAAGCTCGAAATGCTTCCGTCACTATGTCGCATGGTTTCCGGTTCAGACTGGAGGCCACTGGGGCTGACTGTCTCCTCCCCTAGCATCTTGTGGGGGCGTGGACACCAAGGTCAGGGCCCCGTGCTTTGACCGGCCCAACCACCCATCAACAGGGACCCACACCTTCATGGAGGATAAATACCGTCAAAAGGACTGGCTTATTTATTTTGCCTCTTAACCTAAATCCTTCCTCAAACTCGTCTGAAGGGCAAACAAGGTGCTCCAGCCTGCTCTGCGACTACTAACGGTCGACCTCCCCTGCGATTCTGCTTGCTGACCCACAAGGCCATTTACCTTAAAAATCTAACTGAAATCACTAGAATCTTGAAGAGCTTTGCATCAACCATATCTTCAATGACATCTTAGAGCCCATACTATTCCCCCTTATCACTGGTGTAAGAGGGCTTTTGGTAAGACATTTAATTTATAACCAAACTGATTTCTTTGAGGAACTAATTGATTTTTCTTATAGGCGCCTACATAATTGCCAGCTAAGCCATAATTAAAATGAGCTCAACTGCACTCTGTACACTAAACAGATAAAACCAGGTTCATTTAAACGGACGGTGGATAATGAATCCACGTCAGATGAGCAAAGGAGTTAGTGCAGTTACTTATTGTAACCTGTAAAGACCTTTGAAATGCTTGCTTGTATTGCAAAGCGTCGATGTGCGTTAATCCGTTGGTACAGCAGATTTTACCGTGTTCTTCTCATTCTGAACCACCACAGAATATCAGGTAAACCTAAGAGATGTGGTTCAAACGTCTCTATTTACCTATTTACAACTTGGCTTCTAGTAGCATTCTCATAGAATTAGGAGAAGGTGTAGTAAGTAGTGGCAGAACATGCTGCCCAGAAATCGTTTCGCAAATTGACAGTGAGTCACAAAACTGGCAATTTGCCTTAACTCGAGATTGATATTTCCATAACTTTTAGTTGTAGTTAACGTGATTGATGAAGTACTTCGCTTACAATTATAGCATTAATTGAGAAATTCGTAGTGGAAAATGATTCAATGGGTGCCACTTGTCATGCATAACAAGATGAAAACGACCTCCAAATTATCCATTTGTTCTTCACTTCCTTCGTATCATCGGTTAGTTGCTGACTGAGTTGTAATGAAAAATGTCTTTTAGTCCAGCCTTAAGTAAACGACCACACTTTTGGAAATTCCCAAACAAACCATCGACCCACAGTCCTCCCCACACCTCTGAGGTACACACCATATTATATCCAGGAGACTATGCTTGCTGTACTGTAAACAGAATTATTCACTATGGATGTATTGCTGAAAAACAAATAATTACAGCTGAATTCTCCTTCATGCAGCGAATCCCGAACGTGGGCAAGAAAAACTTCTTCTTAAGAAACAGTCAGGACTAGCTAGTCGACAAAAAGAAAGACCTATTCATAGAAGGCAAAGCAGGGACTCAAACCCCTGAGAAACGTGGCCGCGCGAGAAGCTTTGCTCTAGGATGATAGGGGACAAAGATTCTGCCCCATCTTCATGTTCATCCACACCTTCCGTATTCCCCTGACGGCATTTCTCCAGGTGATGACTCTCGCCTTGCCTTGGTATTAAACATTCAAGTTTGAAGTGAACGGTTCAAAAAATATGTGTTACTAGGCTTGATAGATAACCTTCATTTGTTCTTCTTTATATCTTATGGTTCTTTGATATTAGATATTTTACCAAACATTCGTTATCATTGAGCAAAGTAAAAAAATAGCGCAATTTAAGATCAGGACGGTAGGTGGTCTTGTTACACTCACAGCGCATTCCAATTGCATCACGAAAGTCTGCTGACACTAGCTGGAAGCTGAAAAATACTGCCAAACCTCTCACGTGCTGACATCAAAAAGAAGCATTTACGATAAAGCAATTGAATTTAAGGAAGCCTTGTCTCTGCAAGGTGTCTGTAGGTGAAAGGAAAGTACTTTTATGACATCTTCACAACTGAGGCGTTTGTGATTTAAAACTTTGCCAAATTCGTGAAGCCATTGCTTGCACTAAATGCAGCAAGGATTTGGTCGATTTGCTTCTACTTGTGTCACAATAGTGGTGATTAGCTTTTACTGGAGGTTGGGCGGAAAGTGGTCATATTCTGGCAGGAGACTACGCTCATGGGACACCCAATGTCCTGCCAAATGAGACATTCATATACAAATCCCCACCGTCTTTGCAGAGCAGCCATTGTTTACTACAAAGACACAAAATGGCATAAATTGATGTTTGGTCACCGTGTGGGAACACAAGGAAGGTCGCATGGTCTTCCGGTCTGAAGACCACCGTCGGAGTTATATACAAGACAAGAGCATCAGAAATCGTAAACCAGACAGCATAAGGATTAAATGGCTGTGTATTGAGTAAAGAAGGATAGATTTATGGAACCTTCGCGATAGGAAACCGGGGTGAGGTTGAGGGAGTTAATCCCGATGATTCATTCATTCGGCTAAACTCATTCAATTGAGTCGTAAGCTTCAATTATGGCTTTTAAACGACCCTAACCAGGGATTAGCAACATGAACGGGGGTGTAAGCATGGTGACTACGATTTCAAGCAAGATTGTCTAGATACGATTTATTTTCTCAGGTTTTATGAACGTGTGTGCGCTGTGAAAGAGGTGCCAGTGGCTGTGGACAGCATTAACTTGGAAAACCGTGTCAAGACATCACGTGTATTTTACCAAGAAGTGCTGTTGCCTTTGCATTGCTTAGTCATCCACAAGCGCCTTCACGAACAATGTGTAATAGCGGTAACAATAGTAGGGGATTTGGCCAAGCACTTTTAGCTTAACGTTAATGGCTAAAATGCTAAATCAGTCCAGTGATACTCACAGAGAGCAAGAAGTGAAATTTCGTGGTTGTTAGCACCATTATTTATTGAAGGAGATAGCGGCAGATATTACAGCAATGGACCTAAAAGCGATGCATCAAATTCGTATTCCCAGAGTTTGTGCAGAGGTGGATAGTAAAACATAAGGTTCGGAATTCAGTCATACAGGAACCCCGTTATTCAGCTCTATATGGGATGGAACTCGGACCACAACTACTTGACCGTCCAGACCTCTAACGCCATCAATGAACTCGACATGCATCGCTCTTATTGCTGTATGCAAGCGATCAAAGGAGACTGAGCGTACTACCCATGTAAAACAGGTCCATCACACTATCTATAATCCACTAAAGTAAACGAAAGAGAAATTGCCGGTGATCCATTACTTTCCAGAAGCCTCCTAATTATAGCTTTATCAAAGTATTTAATTTGTGGATGCACTATCGAGGGAGGAATGAACTGCAGTTTACTCGTCTCAACAAACGCACACATTTAAAGTTTTCATATCAAAATAATTGAGTAAAGACATTCCAAAGCCATTTCCCTCAGAGAGTTCACAGGCTTATCCGCTTCGAGCTCTAGACTTTTGGTCCATACAAGGACCCTATAGGTGGTGGGTACTGTAAGAGCCATTAAGCATTCATTGATTTGAAGTAGTGTTTTAAACATCTCTTTCCAAAGGGTAGTCCTGCAGAAAGTTTATGCTGTCCTTCCAAAAGGCTTATGGATTTTGGAGAAGAAAGGTGCTGTGAGAATATAGGAGTCCGTTACTTATCTGTGTGTAGTGTGCAGCGCAAAAATTCAACTTTATTAAAAATGTGCCAATTTTAAATAAACTGAACCCTTGTTGAATTCTGCTTCTATTCCATTTTCTATTTAGCCACGTGTCCTCTACTTTTACCAGAAATGGTGCTTATAAGATGATAGTGCAACACTTAACCCTTGTCCGCGTATTTTTCTGCCATGATAGCTATCAAAGTGGGTAGTCATTTGAAGTTTTTAGCTATGTGTAACTGCAAACAAGTTAATAAACTTTCTCCGAAGTAGAGAACACTATCGAAGGTAAGCAAAGTTGCTGCTCCGTATTTTCTACTGAAATTTTCGATTCACACTATAGCAGTAGTACTATTCCACCTTGCCTCAACCTTCTTGTGTGGATGAAAACTTTTTAGGAAGTGTGCAAGAGAGCTAACTGACCAGATTTCAGATCCTGGCAAATTTGTGCTGCCTATAGACGGCAACAAAAGTCTATATAAGGTACAGTCGGCTATGCAAGTGACCAAGTATTTAGGTTGAATGAAATCACCGCTGGGACGTCGGAGGCGGCAAATGCCTCCATCTTGGTCATCTGAACTACTTAACGGATGAGCGACCGCGTAAATTGTCGCGAAAGCCCAGGCAAATGTTATGATTGCGATTTGTGTACTTACATAGTGAACCTTTATTCCCTCTCAAGGAGGTACTCCCGATTAACATCCACAGGGGCGACACTTGCACTTCATACTATTTGTATCCAGCCCAATGCCCTGATAGCATCTAGTTAGACCTTTCATGAGGCAACAAAATAAATTTGTGCTAATTTTATAATAAAAATTAAATAATTACACAATAACTACCAATACAATGCACAATTCATTCGAAATGCATAAGGTATTGTATCGCTAGAAGTAAGAAAAGTTGGCCTCATTTATGTCCATTTTTCTCCGGCCTTTATTCCCTAGCTGTCAATCTCGCGTGTAATTGCCCAATGTCAAGAAAAGGTGATACTCATCACTCAAAAATATATCGTCAAGGTACTAAGGCGAATGGGGATGGGACGAGGCGACATCGCCCTCTCACCTCGTCCTAAAGTGAAAAGCATCCTAGGACTAGGTTTTGCAGGGATACAAGGCACGAGAGCTTTTGCTGTTGTTTTTTAAGGGTGGATCTTTCTTCCCACTGGTTAACTGGTACATACAAACTTTTTGGCCGTCCAGCGCAAATAGCCTTTTCGATTAAATTCGCCTTAATGTACAGTATTAATGAAAGGCGGTTTGGGGTTTATTAACGTAATTCTAAGGTGGGATGTTGGTTTGCAGAAGGAATCCTGGGGTCTTGCATGAAACTGAAGCACAACATATCATTTGAATAATTCTTATCTTGAATGCAGGTTCTCTCTTTTCTACACTTTAAAAGGAGGAAGTCACTTTCCAAAAAGGCATTTAGGACACATTATATTGGACTGCCATTCAAAAAAACTGCTTGATCTGCACCGAACATCCGATGGGAACTGCGTAAGTGAATGTTTACTAATTCCGTGTTAAATTACTCCCGTAATTCAGAGAGAAATTATTTGTTTTTCACTGATAGTTTACTTAAAACTGGCTGCTAAAGTGGCACTTTTCCAGATCTCCAATCTCCAAAATAATTAGGCCGATTGTTCAAATTTCTAACCTAGGTGATTAATATCCCTTACTTGGCATACACTGTGGTAGATATCCTTCAAACTGGGAAATTCAACTTTCAGCTATGAGCACGATATATTAAAACGAAAATCCGCAGGGCAATAAATTAACATTTACACTATTGCTATGAAGTAATATATATTATCTGTAAGATTTCGAAAGGAAATGTCTCAAAGAGGACATATATATATATATTATGCAAATATTTACTGCCTAATAGTGGTCTTGCTTTTAAAGGCATTAATCTTGTGTCTCGCGGGTAAGGAGGCGTGATGAGTCACTCACTTGACCTGCGAATTGAGTCCACTTAGACACCTTAGACATGTGATCTAATTGTGACCTCAAGTCGGATGGATGATGCGACACCTCACTGTTGTTTGGGGACAGAGCTGCTCAAACCCGGCGCCCCTTGTTTGACTCGGCTTTTTACTCACGCCTTAATATCAATCAGATATCACAGTTGCTCGTGACATTTGCGTGGGTAAAAAGGGCCACAACCTCATTAGATCTTTAGAAAGGTGGGTAATACTTTTTTTCCAACGGCTACTGCTAACGAGTGCTCATGGTACTGAAATTAGCATTTGTGCCAGATTTTTTTAGAGACATCAAAGTGTTTCTTGTACACATTCACACACACATTTTCAAACGCACAAATGAATTAGTGCCAAAGGATTAAGGAAAACATTCCATCTTAATCAAAATAATCGCTGATGAACTTTCCGCCGGTCTTACGAACTTGTAATCTAATCGGATGGTTAAACGTTTCTGTGGGTGACTGAAAAGTAAAGGTGAAGGGCTACAGTAATTCGAGGTCGAATTTGCTAGTAGTGTGGTGCATGAGGTACACCTGATGTAAATGAACGGCGTCTCTATCAATGTATTGGATGTGAGAACGCGTGTTCAATGAACTAGTTTAGATGTACTGCTTGGTCATTTCCATTTTGCAACCTAGTTGACGTTGGAATAAAGACGTGTGGTTCATTTTTCAACGAACGGGAATAGCCTTTACAGGTTAGATTCCCACGATGTGACGCTAATTTCATCTAGTTACATGCTCCATGGGAATTGTATTATTTTTCCTGCGATATTAGGAGGCAAAATTTTAGATGTTTATTGGGTGCATGGGCAATCTGTTTTAGTTTTACAAGAGCGTAGTCGCTTCCCTTTTTCTAGCCATCCATAATGACACTGTCATTAAAATAGATGGATGAAGATACTTTAAAACTCGTTGTCTGTAAATAAAACACAGACTTATTTACACATTTTATAAAAATAGGTCCATGTATCCGGTTGAGAACTCAAGATACTGGAAACCGCAGGGAAACAGTGATAGCTCACTTATTTTAGCAAGCCCATTTTGTCGACGTTAAACATTGAAGTTTATCGTGGTGTTAACGGTCATTTCCTTTCAAAGCTAATTACGGCATTTAAAGAATTTATTAATTTTAAGTAACTTGGAGCAGTGGTATATCCAGCCCCATTGAAAAGGCGCTGATTACGTACACTTCTTTAGGAAAGCGTAGTAAATTTTCTCAGTGCTAGGACCCCGCTACTGGATTGGCCAACAGCATACAGTAGTCTGTTCGGCAATATTTATAAAGTCCTTTTAGCCCTCCAGTCAAGTGTTCTATTGAAAACCTTGCTACAAATCTAAACGATACTTGTTCATGAACAAAGCCATATGCTCTTGTCATCTCAATGCACCAACTTATCCGTCTCATCAATCTAGTTTTCCTATAATAATGCGGAGGATGACACTCGAGCGAATGGATGAATTAGTTACTTGTATTTATGTGCTCAAGCATAAACTAAATGATTCTCCTCCAATTCTGTTTTCTGATGGGTATTTCGTTTCCACCGTATATTTCACCAAATCTACCCTTGTTATCCACATTACAATCCTCCTTCCCATCTGAAGGGCAGAATAGGTTGGGTGCAGGAGTTAATTTTAAGACCATGGTGCAGGGAAAAATAATTTTGACGAAGTATTTCTTTGACATTTGGTACCATGGGCGTTCCCGAGGTTGTTCATCTCTCTCTGAATTGCTATTCTTGGGCGATGCCTTGGCTTGATATATGCAGGCGGTAACTCCCCGGTGGTCTGTTCGTTTGTCACTTTTTAAGTCTTGTTGTACGTAAATTACGTCCTCCGCCTTGTGGAGTGTGGCCACTAGCACTTTGTACGAACTAAATCGTCCTTTTTATAACTTTAATCATGGCTTTTGAAACGTCACTTGGGCTCCGGGATGAGGGAATCTGATGCAGGAGAGTACGCCACCCCCATTTTAACCTCCGTCTTAGATCTCAGGGCTCTGAAAAATAGAGGGGAGTTACCGTTTCAACGGCTTTTAGCCCTGCAATTTGCAAAACGAATACTTTATAGTGGCTGGGTGAACCAAATTAGTGCCACCAGCCGCTTAAAAGTTTCACTAAGACACGGCACATCATTTAAGCGTTAAGGGCCAAGTGCACTCTCCAAATCCTTTAAGTTGAGATCGGCATCAAATTGTTTTTTGCAAAACTAAGCAGTGAATATCAGAGCTTTTAAGACTGACGAAAACAAACGAGTAGATGAAGCTTTCTTCGTGCCACAAAAGATAGTTCAAATTTCGACGTGCAAAATTGTGATTTCCTAATTAACTAATTAACTTTTCCTATTGAGGGTGCCACTACTTACGTACCACACCTCACTAAATGTGGAGGCAGATATTTAACTTTATGGTTTAAAATCTTGTAACTTTTAGTTTTGGTCCGCTCCGTAGTCTACACTAACGCATAAAAGGCGCACATTTTGATTCGCATGAAAGAGCAACCCAACATGCGATTTTTTTTGGCACTTTTATTCACTTCATCTGGGGTAGATGCACTACCTATCCAAAGTGTATGCGGTTCGCATGCTCCGTATGCGTTATATCCTGTCCACGCTAAAGTATTTACAGGGCCGCCTAAAATAGGTATTCGTAGGATTAAATGTAAATTACTGATTCAAACACGACTCAGTGAAATGCAGTCCTTCCACATGGTGGTAAATGGCAAGCGTTCAAGACTGAATCCGACTACTGTCAACAAATAATCGGCGGTAAAGTCGGACTTCCATACTATACGACCCGTGCCGGTTTGTGATAGTGAACATGTTCAATCTCAAGGGATACCTTTCTGTTACACAACTTTTGGGTTTATCATTAACAGCTGGTGAATTTACAAAGGACTATTCTAAAGTTATCGACGAATTTTAATGCTAATTGGTGGGCTGAAGGTAATAAAAAGTTTTAGGAAGAAAATGCTTAAACGATCAGGCAGAGAGCAAGGCAGAATTCGATGAATTAAAGCCCTGGTGCATATTCGAGCCTACCAGTAGAAGACAAAAGCAGTCCTGTTATTTGGAGTGAAAAATTAGCAAGTTTGTATACACAATGGCTTCCGACTCCGACAAGGCATCCCTTCTCGCGCTGCAGCCCGAAGCAATAAATCAGGCGATTTGTTTGTGCAACTGGAGAAGGTGGCTGCAAAGAGAAAAAGGGGTTGATGACACCCAAGTAGTGCCCCAGTTTACGCTTTAGATTTCATAATTAGTTTACTTGCTTGTTGGATCCTGCTTAAGGCTAATTAGCTAGCAATGCTATCTAAGTATCTCAGAAATCACGTTCATTTTACATGGAGTTAAGTACAACTACTTACAATGTGTAAAGAGATCAATGTCTCTATCTCCCTTGCTAATGATAATAGTAAAATCCTATATCTTTAAGAATGGTAGTTGTTTTATTGAAGATTGTGTCATTCTGATCTTCTTGGATCTTACGAAAAGAGGACTGGAGAACTTGTACTGAAAACTGCAAGTTTGAGTTTCCTTCTCCAGTCTAGGAAGTGGAAGTTGTATTTGTATTGTTTGCAAGCCCGACTGGGTATCTTAGGTGGAAATTGCTGACTTGAATGTTCGTTGAACATATTTTGTGCTGAAAGAATGACGCCAAGACTTCAATCACTCCACTTATGCGTGATGATTAGGTGAGCGAATGATTGGCTAGAGATGGTACAGTGGAATTACACTTCACCCATGTGCTATGATTTACTGTTAAGCACCTATTCATTATCAAGAAAAGAATTTAGACCTTTTTGGCCTCTAGGAGGTATTTGTACTCTCTTGTTATAGAAATAGAAAATTTTCCTTTTAAGCAGTGCAGAAAGTCCAACTCTCCAACCTTGAAGCCACCCTCGTAAAGGGAAAATATGCGATACTCTGAAA